ATAGTAAAGTATCAAGAGTCCCAAATTTAATTAAGGCGGAAGATATAAAAATTTTCGTTGGTGAAAAAAATATAAAATCACATCTCGCCATTCTTCTATAACTCGAACATGTTCTGCTCCAAATACTCTTTCCTTCCCCTATTATTTAAATCTTCCTGCAGTTATTTATTTACTTTTTTTCCAAAACCACTACTACCTAGAGGTGTTCATAATAAGTAATTAACCTCAAATCTCTTGGCAGCTGCAATGAATACATCGGGTGAAGGTTTCCCCTGTTTGACTTCTGGATCATCCCCGAGAACTACATGATGCATCAGTGAAAATATTTCACGGTGCCTTTGAGTTTTCAACTCAAAATGCCTTTTGTGTGAACTGCAACAAGGTAAAAAAGATCAATGAGCAAGCTTGCTACCAATTCCATCTCCAAAACCTACTTAAGGATTTAAAGAAAACAAGGAACTTACCCAGTTGCAACACAAATAGGAACTCCATTTGCACGGAGATGCTGAATTAAACGGCTGGCCCCTGTAATCCAAAGATGAGATGGGAATAGAAATATTTTCTAACTATTGTAGCTCAAACAATTCTAAGCACATACATATATCTAAGCAAGACAAAATAAGGAAATGCCGAAATGCAACGAGAATGTTTAAACCAATAGAGAAATTATGCGATCAAATATATCAAATCTAAACCTGGCATGAGTTGGCACGAGGGGAATAAACTTTGCAGCATATCTTCTCTCTCTACAAGAAACTCTTCAGCTGAGAGCGAGTCACTGATTCCAGTCTCTTCCACAAAAACTCGAGCAGCTTCTATTGCCTTCTTACCCATCATTCTGGCCTTGAGAGACCAATCAAAAGTCTTATTGTATCTAGCAAGAATGATCTCCTGGACTTCTGTGTAGAATTTCTCCGTATCTGAGAAAATAAGAGCAAAAAATTGAATAAGAAAAAAACAGGACCAAATGCTTCTATTTGGATATGAAGCCACAAAGCTGCTAACTACATGAACTTGGGACACAAAAAATGGAAAGAACGTACTCTTTACAGGCACAAGAGAGATTCAAACGACAAACACAAATAGCTTATCTTGCCTTTGTTAAAAAAAAGGAAAAAAAAACCGTACACCACGACAGACTCGTTTAACTAAAAGAAAAGGAAACTATGAAGCACCCAAGAATCAATTGTTAAAAAATGTAGATCATCCATCCTAGCCACCAATACATAAGAGATTAACGAAAACTAGAAAGCGCATAAATATGAAGTCCTTTGTCGATATATTGGAATACAATCCATTATCAAGTCCATAAGTAGGGTCTATTTCTAACATCAAATTCTAAGCAAATTTACAACAACTCATTGTCATTTATCCTATAAACAGTGTCATGTGTCTGAATGAACTCAAGCTAGTCCATAACAAGACCATCGTTTCGAAGACGAAAACTTCTAATTAAATGTTAACAAGACCATCGTTTCATCTGAAATAACAGGTGCATTATTCGGATCACGAGAATATACAAAGGAAAGCATAAACAACGAAAAAAAAGCCCAATGTAACAATGAGAGGAAAAAGATGTCTGAAAAGATAATATTCGATGAAAAGACACAATTTTTTTAGGGCACAATTTGTTTCCCGATCTTCTGGGAAGGGGGAAAACACCATGAATCTGTACGAGGGGTTAGCATCTATTTACTGATTGAATATCAGAGCTGTTCAAGACAGTGAAAAGTTACCAAGTAGAAGGCCGTCCATGTCGAAGATGACGTGAGTAATGGGTGGCTTGGTGGAAGGAAGATCAGCCAGTGTAGATGGATCCGCCATTGGAGCTGACCGAGTTCACTCGGACGGGTTTGAGTTAAAAAAGAGTTCTTTAATCTGAAAGACAGAAGAATATCTACTT